CAGCAAATTTGGGAGACTGCAAACCACAAATGAAAATCAATACCTTGAACTGGTCTTCTGAGAGTGATTTCAATTTAAAACATTCACCCGTGCGATTGACTATACCCAACTGAGTATGGATATCATCATTTTCGTTCAGAACTAGTTTCATGCAATGATATCGAAGGTTGAATGAAGATCTCTGATCACCAAACTGATGACGAAGGGTATGGACAGTTTCATCGAATGATCTTTCACTGGGCTTCTGTGGGAGAATTAAGTTGCAGTATTTATCTAGCTCATCTGCTCCCAATTTACGAAGTAGAAGCCGTACTTCCCAGGCATCATCTTTATCCGCTAAGTCTTCTCGAAATAGCTCTTCATATGTGCGAGGCCAGGTATCAAATGTTACGTTCGCATCTGGATCATAAACGAATTCTGAGATGCTACTACCAGTGCTGTCGTTGGCTGGGGATGAATCGGCAGGGCGTGATATCTGTAGACCAGCAAGCATTTCCATCATTTTAGCTGCTGTTTCATTAGTTTCTCTAAACGCAGTGGGTCCATCTTGAGCAAACCCGTCGCCAAATTTGTTATGTATGAGATATTAGGACCTTGTAAACTATGAGCGAATCTAACTTAATGCGCTGGCTAATCTGTCCTGATCGCACGTCAACAACAACAACGACAATACCACCGGGCACGCAAGACAAAGAAAGAAGACTGGACGTTGATACGAGAGCTTTTACTGTCTCTAACAACGGTCGAAGTGTTAAACAAAAACTCCGTAAATAGAATCAAGCTGTAAATCAAAATAATAAATAAAAATAAATGAATTGTGTATCAGTTTTACGAGAGTTTGGCCTTCAGCGATAGAGCCTACAGATTGCAGGGTATTGAGAGCTATCTTTAGGAGTTGCATTTTCTTGCCTGAGTAAGACTTTCTCTCCATTCTCTTTTAATTTGTGATAAATGTTCTGTATATTTTTACAAGACACAAGAAGTCATTTTCTCTGTGGCACTGTCGGTGCAGCTTTCGCCCGAATGAAGTTTTTTGAGTTTTGGCTTCAGTTCTGCTTACTTTTAGGAACAAGTTCATCAAAGCATACCGATACATTTTGGTAAAAAGCTAATAAGATAGTATTTAGGAAACAACAGGTCCCAGTCTAAGCTTTGAGTGAAGAAATTAGATACATCTCACCTAGCTTTTCCAAAGCACATGAATGTTTTGTGCAGAACAGAGCGTTTCAGTGAGTGAAGCCTAGTATCGAATGAGCAGATCATAGCATTGTGGTCACTACCTGGAAATGGTTGGCTGATGTCTATGATAGACAAAGCGATGTATTTCAAGAAACCTGAGTCCAGTATATTGTGGTTTCGGGTTGGCCTTAGAATACTTTGTGTCCAACCATATAAATCCACTGTATCTAAGAATTTACTGTAGCGAGGAGGAACACTGATGAGTTCCAATGAGACTTCAGGCATTTTAAAACCATCTCCAATGACTTTATAAGTGAAGTTTAATTTCGAAGTGTAGTGAAAGGCCGCAGTTGCTTTATTTAGCAGTTCACTATCGTGGTCGACTGGGCGATAGATGCAAACTAATGAATGAGTTTGCTGTTTACTGATATAGAATTTCACCCACGATGTATCGTATATATTCATGTTGAGGTCATCTTAGTGCACAGCTCTACAGTCAGATTTAACATAGATAATGCATCTTCCACTCCGCCCAACAGATCCGTTCTTTCTGAAAAATGATTAACCTTCGCAATCAAAGAAACTATCATTTAATTCACTTATGCACTAAGCTTCAGTAATCATTAGTGCTGAATGTAGGGATTGGATGTACGTCATCTTGTTGACAGCGGACTTTGCATTAATAAGAACAATGTTAGGATTAGCTGGTCATACCTCGAGATTTTAGTCATGTCTTCAAGAAGTTGGTGATGAGATTAAATCATACTGTTCTCAGACGACAATGAAGTGTCTCTGTCTGTAAAAGCGCTAGGAAAGCTAGAAGTGAAGAGGAGGTCAGTGTTATTTTCATGTTCCTGTAATTTGGGCCATAAAGAAGATTTTCTGTCGGAAGAAAAGGAGATAGAGGGTTGTTGATGTAGAAGAGAATTACCTGTGTCATGTAAGGTAAGTTCAAGGCAGTAATTAGGCATTGCGATATCAGCCAGCCTATCTTTATCGAGGAACGAAACCTATGGGGAGTGGGGAGCATTTGTAATGTGTTAGTGGTTATGTTGTGAACCTGAATAGAAAAGGTAATTTCATTTATATAGAAAGACTTTCCGGTGATACCATAGTTCCTTATCCTCACATTAAGACTCAGGGAACTTAACTCGCTGATATGTTGTTATATTATGGCAAATTTTTTGTTGGGGTGGATTGCATTGTGACAGTTAAATAATAAAGAAACTTTGGAGACGATAGGATGTTTCGTGGGTTGGAGAACTTGATCACGTCTCTTCGAGGTAATCCTGCCAGGAGAGATTCCAGTTGTGGACCCATCACGTCCTCAGCAATTTGTTGGTAAGGTTGGTTGTTAAATTAAGAACATCTTTTGTTCAAATTAGCAGGTGTAAGAACAAATTTACATACAGATTTCAGTCCTCACTATCAGAACTGACGACGAAGAATCTAGAGCTCACTATCGTTAAAACTCCTGTATGTCCCTGTCTTCAAACGCAGTTGGCCATGGGATTTTCATTGTTTGGAAGCAGCGACACCGACTGTAAATACAGAAGACAAAGGCTGGGCAACAAATTGTTTATTGATAAAATCGTGCGATATTTATAGATTTTTATGTGCATTATTGTCAGCGAAGAAGAAACGTCTTCTGATTGGTTTTTTCTTGCCGAAGGCTATTCTATACTGCTTTATGACCTTTTCTCAGAAAACTAAGCCATATATCTGTGAATCATATATCCACACGTTAAGTCCGCTGTGATTGGTTGGTGATTCTCTCAGGATTAAGCTTTGTTATTGTTTTTCCCATGAACCTAACTCGGGACGTAGCATTGACGTAAATTGGTGTTTACAACTTTTGCTTGCTCGCAGCCAGCCTTCACCACGAGCTTAAACTATAGTTCAGACATTCAAGGTGAATTACACGCTGTGCGAAGTTCAATTAAATTGCCCCTTATTCAATTTAATGCTGCCTTTTTGCAGCATTCGTGGATACTTTTTACCAGAATCCATTGAAAAATGTGCACATAACGACCTGTTCATTCAGCTCCACAGGACTTGCTGAATATGTATGTGTACAGTGCAATGATTGCATGTAAGAGTTTCCACTGCAAGTCGTTCAAAACCCCAAAGTTTGCGAAAGTCTATCTGTATTTCGCATGTAGCTTTTTTTGAGCCTTAGCTTTTCCTTTCATTCTGTTTCATGAAGACATCTCCAGTCTATCGATAAAACTTCGTGTTGTGTGATCATGTATTTAGCTAGTGATTTTTCCCATCGAATGAATCCTATACTAAGCAGTTTGGAAGTGATATCAGAGTCTTTTCTCCCTCTCCCATTTAATTTCCTTGGACATTTAAGGAAGCATTTTCCCATTAAAAATACAAACTCTATGTCTTGCAAGAGTACTTCATGTTAAAGTCCTCTTATTCCTCCAGGATATACGTGATTATTTGGGGTCTATTCGCTACTTGTTGTATAACAAAGTTTTTACACCTTTTACTTCTACCTTCGACATAGTAGTTCTGCTGGCATTACCTCTAGTTATAATATGCGAAGGTCCCCACTCATAAACTACCTTAGGGTTCACACTTCAAAATGGACTATTTTCGTGTTCTGCGAATAGACACAGGACAAATATCATGTGGATATCATTAAACTAGTGAGCCACCACCTTCATTTGTACAGTTAGTATCATCTAGGACCTTGTCTGTAGAGTGAATACTCACCTTGTCTATGGCGGATTGTGGGCCCGGAGTATTGCTGGTAGTGTGCATAGGTGTTCTGTGTTTGTGCCTCCGCATGGCGTTTTGTATGTTTAATAGTTCACACATTTTTGATTACTGAAACCACCAGTGGCGGACTTTCATTATAACACTGGTAATATCGTCATTAAAAGCCTAGTCAAGTAACCTTTCTGAACCATGTCATTTTCACGGAGTTTTGAAGCTTTAGAAAGTAATGCTTGAACCTTCTCCATTCACATAAACTTAAGTGGATACCACGTCATATGCATCCCAGGTAATATCAGGTGAGAGTATCACTAAAATGATAATGGACTTAAACTAGTGTATATCGTGTGGTACCACACATGATAGTTTTAAATGCATGCTTTATGCATGGAGTGAATAATCGGAACAACCACACTCCTGGAGCAAATCTTTACGGGATTACCTGTATTACTAACTTGTTACACTACACCAGGCTCACCAAATTCCCTCTCCCAACTAATACTTTACCTATCTTGCACGTAGTGATATGAAAACACAAATCAGAAAGACTCCAATATTCAGTAATAAAATCTGATCCGTTATGCATTTAAATGGACTAAAGCGTTGAGATTATCTGAGGTAAAGCTTTTGGGAACTTATTTGGTTAGTGCGGCTGATCTGTAGACTCTGAGGGTGTGAGTGATTCCAGAACAAAGTTGTATCCCGGCATGGTCACATGAGGATGGATTAAAGCACATGGCATCCACGGCAGGGTTGGAAGTTTACTTAGGCAACACTAACTTAATTCAGTTTGATCTATTCATTTCAGCTCTACGTCTATTTTGGTGCTGTTGAAGGCGCACTACAGACAAACAGTAGTGAAACGATGGAAAGGGCATATGTATGCAAATGACTCACGGTTTATAGAAACGTCTACCAACCGCTAGCTCTAGATGAAAAACAGGCAGCTAAATCAAGTTTTTGGTGCGATGAGTACATCGGAAACCAGAATTTACCAAAACGTGACAAATTTCAAGTGAGTCTGCTTTTTAAAACAATTAGTGAAGGCAGTCTGGAAGAACTTCAATACATTTTTCGCAGATGCAACAACCATGGACTGTCCATATAATCTGCCATCTTCGCTGTCATAGAGTGGAAGTAAAAGTCATGATCACCTGATTGGTTACAATTGACTAGATTATTCGATCATCTGTATTACTTTCTATTGCTAGTCGCTTTTGATGTTTTAAAAATGAAATTCTGACAATGAAATGCAGCATCCATTAAGATGACTTCATTTTATGTTTCGCGTTTTGCTTGTTTGAAATCATCAACATGAAAGGTAAAGTGCCCTTTGTATCAGCTGTTTCTGTTGTAGGTCACTTACAGTTAGCCAATCAGTTTCCAGGGCCTTTGATGCCTTTGTTATTAAACCCGGTTTGCAAACTCCTGTAGTTCATTCAGCACTATGATGGTGACAAGCTCTAGAGGTGCGGTAGACATTTTCGAAAGTACGACCTGTGATCTTCCAAAGTCCCCATTGTCCTCCGCAAAGCGCCCCAAGAAAAGCCGCCGGCTTAAAAAGCAGTCAGACGTTTCTGAAGAGAAGCCACAGACATCACCTCAACATACTGATCACTGCCTCTCAGTCAAAGATGAATTCATTTCACCCAGCAGTCTTTCATCCCACCAAATGTACAGTTTTTATCCACCCTCAAATTCATTCAGCACTCGATATCAAACAGTGAGTCCGCAAAATCTTCTCCCTACGTTTCTATAGTTTTATCATCTTATTCAAGAAAAGTTATACGCTTCCCTATGTCAAGAAAATTTACTGCACGTTGATAATGAACATCTGCTGGCTGTTAATTCGGTAAGTCGTGCACGAATTTTCTGAGATTTTCCCCTAGCATCTTGATGACAAAATAGATTCAGCGCTGAGAACAGAAACTTTGTCTAAACTTTGGTCGTTGCACAGTGCCTACTATTCCCTTTCTTCCCTTACTTTCTGCAAGGCTGTTTGCCTAATGGATTTACTCATTATTAAAGTCAGGGTAGGTGTTTCAACATAATTCTTCTAGTTATTACTTAGGTTAAACCTAAATACGCAATGTGTGTAGCTGCCGCATGTTACTACATAACCTCTAAATTCGAACGCTCATCGGTAAGTAAATCTATGATATTTTTATACCTTTGTTCCCACCATAATGTATTTTTCTGTAAGGTACCGAATTTTTCTTGCGTAGAACCGTGTTTTCATTGGAATTTACATTTCCTTTTAAAGATGATATTCCTAGCATTTCATAATTTTTAGCTTCCTGCAACACTTCATACTTGTTTTATTGTATGGATGTTTTCAAGGAATGTGTGTAGGGGTTATACTGTAGATATAGACCTGTATACTCGCTTGTCTTATAAAGCATACAAATGGCATCACTTGGTAGTATTTCCAGACGATTAACTGACCATATTCATATTAAGGTATGATCCTTAAAGTACTATTTGGTCTGAGGTAGTCATGCAAAAGCTTGTGTTGCTGCGTCATGTAGGGTAATAGCATTCACTGGTGTACATATAATTTTGCTAGAGACAGCTGGTAATCCTGGGGTGTTGAAGGTATTGATCGCTCGTAGATGGACCAGTAGGTGTGATTAAGCAAATGATATTTCCACATTAAACATCAGTGCCTGACATGCAGGGTTATCTAAATGTGTTTACTGTACATATCAGCATCTGACATTTGTTCCATCCCTATTAAGTGGGGGGAGATGCTACAGAACTAGTTCAGTTCGACTCCTGGTTTTTGGATGGAAAGTGAAGTGACTACTTTGGAAATTTTTGTTAGCTCTAATTAACTAGCTATTGAAAAAAGACCTTGTATATGTAAGGCCCTGCATGGCGTTCTTCAGCTTAAGTCATTATTGACATGTGAGATGTACGACTGTTTATAAAGGCACAGTATTGCACTGAGCACCTGTCTATCCCACTTAGTGATTGATATATATTACATGAAGTCTGTCACATTAAAAGCCTGTTACAGAACAGAATGTAACGACATTGTGGTTAGTCAGTAGCAACGCACGTATGTATCAAACTATTCCCTTTTTTGACGACCAGGTCTAGCTGAAGCGGTAAGGTTATAACTAGTAGTGTCCTCCCCTCCAAATGCAACTAAATCATAGTGTCGGCCAATTCTGTTGTGAAGGCATGAATTGTTTTCCTGGTTTGGTCGCCTTAATCGGACATAATCCTAATTAAACTAACATTTGTTGTTGGGATAGTTGCCCAGCTGTAGTCAACCTCTGTAAGTATACCTCTTTTTACGATGTTATAAGTAAAGGCTATGGTTGGAATGTTTTCTCATTTGGTGATTTTCTCTTTGACTAGTATTTATGCATCAAATCTGCTTATGAAGCCCATACATTGTTTTCAATTTGTATTATTTCTTGATTTCGCATAATAATGAATGTTTCTTTATTAATATTTATATTAAAAAGAAGATTTATTTTTTGCATTAAGTGGAGGGGGATTCGAACCCGGGACTCGCCAAGTACTTAAACTAATTAGCCACGTCTTCACTGATTTAGAAAAGAATTACACAATATCACTTTCTAGCCGTTATAACTGCTTTTGATGGTCACTAGAGTGCCCATTAAACCACCGTTCCCATCCACCCGATAGAATCTGATGAAAAGAAAAAGGGTAGATTTAAAAAGCATAGCTTTCCCCTTCAATTCCTGTTTGTTTTGTACGGATTTCAATAGCATCTTGTATAAACTAACATATGAGCTTCCAAGTGGTTTCTGGATACTTTTACCTACTCGTATTAAATTGATCTCTGATATCTCATCCTCTTGCTGTGGTTTCGTGTAATAGTTTTAATCTGCTTAGCTTATCGATGTGGATTTACATTAGAACAGTTCCATAAATCTTTTGTTGTCTATGTGGAAGAAAGACTAGTGATTGTTTCCAGCAAATATCTGACTGCTTTAGCATTCCATTTTAGTAAGTAATACGAATTTGCCGTCAGATGTAAGGTTGGTTGTATGCGTACTTGTTGCTCTACATATATCGAAACATTAAACAACTTCAGGGAATAAGTATTACTTACTGTGTATTTCTACTTATTAGAATATAATTAGTTAGTGTAGTCAATGACATTTAGGCGCTGGTATAAAATCCACTGCACTTGATTCTCATAAATGAATAGTATTATATACCAGTTGGCCTGCTTTCGTCAACCAGGATTGAATCATACAGTTTCTGATCACAACTTCCGTCATATTGTGATAATTATCTTTAGCATCTTAGTTAAAAGTGCTTGTTTATTGTCTTATCATACTAGTCACGTTGACAGTAAAACAAAACACTTTCAACTGTAACAAATAAGTATCCGTAACTTAAACCCTTTCACAAAAGTTAACAAATCAAGTGTTTACCTTTGTGACAGGTAGTGTAGCGGAGACATTGTTACTTCATAAGTGTCGCCAAAAAGTGTAAATGTGAAACCCTACATCACCGAGTCTCACTGATTCATAATTTCGTCGTAAAGAACAAGTTTCCGGAAGCAGGTGTTACGACTGTGGTTTTTTGATACCGATCAATATTTCTAGTGTTTCTACCTTCAAGACGCCTAGGAGTAAACATCCTTTCGTCGCCTTAATCCAATGCTATACGAGTAAAATAAATTTCTTTAGTGGACGGCACTCATAACAAGATTCAGTTTAATTGTCTTTCGACAGATCCTATATGATCAACTTCAAACAAATCTCCCCCTTTTTTATAATCACTCTTACACCGCCAAACCGCTTTGCCAGTAGTAACCGATAAATTGATTTATGGATTTATTAGTCGGTAAGTGTTGACTGTAGTAATTGAAGTGCATTGTTACACATGAATTTGGTCGATATATTGTGATGGGAAATCGTGGTCTCACAGGTTGACCACTATGAGTAGCTTACAAGTATAAAATTTGTATAGAGCCTTTGTTTTACATGTTAATTTATTTCCATCTTTTAAAATACTTTTCCACTTAGGATCATATTTTACCCACACCGGAAAGCCTCGTAACATTATCGAGATGCGGAGGCACGGCTGCTGATTTAACGCGAATGGTAGAAATTATCCTAACAAAATTAGGACCTTCCAATGTTGCTGCCATTGGTGCATGTTCAGCGACAGCCATTGATTTTCTTTCCATCTTTTCTCCTCTCGGTATTTCGTCGCCTCACCAGACAACGGAGTCAGAAAATCAGAATGTTTGGTTACCACCTCTTCCTATTTCGCTCTGTCGTCAGGTTGAAATCGCCTTGATTTCTTCTGAAGTATCATGTTTTCGTCCTGCATGTCTTGCTTTGGCATTGCTCAGTCAACGTTGTTTTGATTCAAATATAAGACCGACAGAATCAGCTGACGACGACTGGTTACAGTTTCACACAACTGATCTGTTCAACTTGGCGGTTTTATGCAATGTAAGTAATTTATAATGTTTGAATTCAGTCCTTGAAGTATGAGCAATATAACTAGAATATCCTTTTATTTTAACAGACACTATACTAACACATGCCATTTATTCATTTGGTTTCAAAGTAGGGTCATTATAGCATACACTAACAGGGAGAAAACGAATACGCGGAGACATATCTAGGAATGGATACCTATTTACCGAAGTGAAAGTTTAGGGGCAAGTAGGAAATATCATTTGATGTCTTTTGTTAACTTTTCAATTTTTTGCTGGTCAATCCTAATAAAAAGTAGGCTTATTTCTGATCCATGTCTAGTCACTTCATCGTAGTATTATGAAATCTGCATTTATTACACTAAGCTTATTTGACTTCTTGTGAAAGCGTTGTCATTTCAGTCTACTATAATGTTCTTGCTAATTGGACAATGACAGTAGTGTGAGTGTGTGTGCGTTGCGGTGGTTGAATGTTAGAATACTCGCCAACCACACAAAAGGGGTCAAGGGTTCGATCCCCGGCCGACGCACTCCTTAATCTCGCTTAACCCGGTAGTAAGTTCAGAAAAGAATGAAGGTTGAACATCAGATTAGCAACCCCACCGCTTCAAAAATAGGCACTACTGTGACCGAAACTTCAAAGCACAAGTTTGAAGCTCTATGTTCCATGTGGAATGCCAAAGAAATAAAAAAGTAATATGCATATGGGACCACTTAATTGAGTGAATCATTATTTCTCTCTAGAGTTCAAGTGTTAATTTGTTTACGGTCTATACAAAACTGACACCAAGTTCATTATGGCATTTAATGCACTAAAGTTAGTATAAACAAAGTTTTTCTTATTTCAGTTACTTTCTCATTAGTGCAATTAAAATGAACCAGCTCAGAGAACACAACTAATTCAATATCATCCACCTGAGCTACAAATCTTTTCTATTACTTTCTCATCATGTTATTTTTAAACGACCGGGGGTGACCTACAAAATGTCATCTTGTTGATTTTACGCGTAAATGTCATTACTGATGTGACATGAGAATGTAGAACTTAATGTAAGAGATAATCAGATAAATTCTTTTCAGGACATACTGTACCAGGAGTAGTAGTAATAAACATTAATAAACACCGTCATTTACAGAAGTAAAACAGATTTATTTAGGCGGATTTCTGTGGTTTTGACTTGCTCCAATCCACCTGCATTTTAAGCACATTGAGTTTCATCTTATATTACAACCGTTTCATAGACTGACTTAATTACTTTTGATAAAAGACACTGAACGCTTATATTTGAACTCTGAAATTCCTTTACTTTATGCTACACAAAAACAACATTTGGAATGATGTTTTGATTGTTTTTAATATTTTTTTTCTTTGTAGGTTCCTTGGGCTGATGTTGGTGCATGTTCATCCTTGTTAAAGGCAGCACTTAAAACCACATCAGAATCCTATACAGTTCAAGACTATCCTTCTTCCCGTCTACTAGGCAGCTCACCACCACTTGTGTGGACTTTATCCCGGCGTACTCAACGCAGCATTTCAACTTCTTCTCCTCCAACTCTTTCGACTATTTCTGAAAAGGATGAAGAGTTAGTTCAATTAGAAAATACTTTGACAAGTGTGAATTTGAGTCTTGAGTAAGTCAATGTTCACTACTTATCATGTGATATGGAATTTGCCTTTATCTTTTCAATCAGTCTGTAGTTTTGGAAGATACCTAATGCATATACATCTTAGCTCTCTAGGTATTGATTTTAATTGTTAAGTCTACTTTAATTATATATTCCATCTAGCCTCGGTATATTGAGTTGGAGCATATTACCACACTGATCCTATGCACTTAATTTGGAATTATTAGGCAACAGATTGAATTAGCTAGTGCATAAAATTGCACATGGTTTTAGAACTTGAGTCACTGGCATTTATGTAGTATCATTAACCTTTTAACAACAGGAACTCTCAGTATCTGTGATTGTTTTACTTAATAGGGGGTTGGTACAATAATTAGTTCTATTTCTATGTCAACTCGGTCAGATGGAAGCACTGTTCAGGGTAGAATTTGGGATGTTTCATCTCAAAGTGTTTAAATGTCAGGTTAGTGTATAATATTGAATCACTTACAAAATATATAATATGAAAGAAATGATACTTGATACGAAGTTTTAAGTGTAGTTACTTTTCTGTAAATCTTCATACCATTTACTAGAGTCTTCTTGAACACTCGTTTGTCATTCTTCATGAATCGAGTTCCCTAATATTTTTATAGTAACAGAACCTGCTATCAAGCGTGTTCAGACGCTTCTATAGAGTGTGAGCGATTTATATTGAAAACAACACATACTGTTTTGTGCGCATGTGGGCGGGCTGCTGCTGAAATCCAAGCAAATGCACCATGTAAGCTCACATACAGATTACCCAGGATCTTATGGTTTGTTGACTGAACTAGGCTTTCAGTGTTAAAGATTCATGAGTTACCTTTTAGGGCAAGCATTCGTTATCGCTCTATGCCTGTGCGATCCTGAGGGTATGATAGCTGCCTCTGTTATATAGGATCATTATTGGTTCTTACAATCTAAGGTTAATTTCAAAAATTTGATAATTAAGTAATTTGTAGATGCAGATAACACAAGAGAGGGATTGAGAGTTACATTCCCGTCGGTGTCGGTAGATCACTGGTAGAGTATGCTCACCAGTCCAGGTGCGATTCCTGGCCAACAGACTCACTCTTAAACCTCACTTACTCAGTGTGTTAGTAAGTTCGGCAAAGAGAGGAGGTTAGGCGTAAGACTACTAACAGCCCCCTCTCGTAAAAAAATATCACCACTACTGAAACTTCAAAACTCAAACTTGTTCTACTCAGAACACAGAGGAATGAGAAGAAAAAAGTTACATTTAATGATATGAGATACCACTTATTAGCAGTAGATTTTAACTATTCTGTCACTTATATGATGTATATATATAGTTTTTAAAAGCAAACCTATTTTTTTTCATTTTAGAAATGTATGCTAGTCAAATCTATTTCTTCCGAAGGCAGCAGGAACTTGTGGAAGTTATCTATCACCTTTTAGTATTGTGTCCCCATCAGTTCAGTTCAGTGTAAGCTTTTATCATCCTAATATTTATACATATATATATTCACATACGTATTATCCATACATTCAATAACCAATCTGTGATTGGAAAACCCATGAAAAAAAAGGATTTTTTCCAAAGTGTAATAAACTTCTACGGGTTCAATTCCTATTATCTCTTTTGTTTCCTCATTTTTTTTATTAAAAAATTCCTATTTATATGACAATTAGACTTAGCTGTGTATACAAATGTAAAAAAAATAACAAAAATCTGCATACATCAGTTTCATTTAAATCATCAGCAAGGAGAAAAGGTGATATAGCGTTTAACAAACTAGTACTACTACAACTACTATTATAAAACTTACTGTTGCTGCTGATTTCTGTTATATCCTATTGTTTGTTTATTATTTTTTTGGTTTTATTTCCTTTCTCCTTCACTGTTACTACAATGATGACAAGTTAGCAGAATTGTACATTTCTTTTTCGTTTTGAAATGAGGGAGTCAACTTGTTCTTTTGATTACTCTTGTTATCTATCCTCAAATTACGCGGGAGAAGTTCCCTGCCTCCATTTTCTTTTTGCTGCTTCAGTTTTTCTCTTCGAAGCCACACGCACACGCGCAAAAAAAAACGGAATAGATTATGATGTGATTACCCAATTAATAATAATATTATCAATATAAAATTACCAACTAACTGTATTGCCACTAGTCCTCCTAACAGCTGTCCTCTCTGTTGTCTCATTGTTGCTGTTACTATTGTTGTTGTTGTTATTGTTTACTCACTCCCTGGTTGGCGAAATAACTGCCTTCCTGTATTTCCCCAGGTATATCCAATCAACTAAATCAAGTTTAAGCAGCGGTTTTTCTTATTTCCTATTTTTGATTGAAAATACAAACCAATCTATGCATCTGTCTTTTGTTCTGTTCCTCTTTCTCTCTCTCTCTTTCTAGTCCAGTATTTATTTAATATCTACAACTTATTACAAAAATTTATGAAAAAAAGTGCAATAAAAATCTTTCGATGAATACTTATGTAATTTTATTATTTATTTTTTTCCGTCAAATGACTTTTACGCTGTTTGTTTTGCGTCGGTGTGTGTGTGTGTGTGTTGTTCCATCAATAATTCTCATTCTGAAACTCTAATTATCCAGTGCACCACATTTTATTATGCAACTAGTGTTTAGATGTCACAATTTACGTGACTGAGTTGTATTTTCATTTTTTTTAATGCTTTGTTATCCGCGAACGGATTCAACTGTGACAGGCTTCAGTTGTTGTAGTGTATGGACGTGTTAACAGCATCAACAATCGTAGAAGAAGTCCTATGATATTTTCAAGAGAAAAAAGTGCGGAATAGGATTGATCAATAAAAAATGGCATAGCCTAAATACCCGCAGTTTGAGTGGGCGCCACTTGATGATGAACACAAATAAAAACGAAGAATCGCTTATTCAATAGGCCATATATTATATATACCAGCATAAGTCATGGAAATGTAATCTCATATAGTTTAACTTTGAAGCCTGAAATCTAGATATGAGACTATAAAGCAACATTTGCTGTCACAGACTAACAAGAACTCTCTGAAGCTGTCCAAATAAAATACCTCGGAAATTCTACCAATTCATAATTTAGTGTCGAGTATCTGAACAATATATTATTTATATCATTAAGTAAACATGGCATTGCTACAATATAAGGCTTATTGTTAGGGTATGTTATAAAGCCAATCTTAAAATTGCACCTATAAAAACGGTGAATTCAGATAAGCCGTGGGTGTAGTGTGCAGCATCTTAAAGGGCAATTTACCTATGTAGTGAAGTCTCATCATCTTGAGTCGTCTATCAAAAAGTATTGACGAGAATCAGCTGTACTTACAAGACATTATTAAAGTATAATTCGGAAGTCGCCTACAGCTTAGGAGTATTGAGTTATTTTTCTGAGGTTGGAGGGAAACTGTTGGCTTCATTCACTTTTGATAATGAATTCTTAGAAACAGTTTGAAAGTTCGTATATGGTAGAGTATCATTGTGTGTAGATGCAGGTGTGGCAGGTGAAACCGGTCTTTTAAATGGTTAGGGTTTGATGATAGGAAATTTTGAATATGTAATACTTCAATAAGAACATATCTCTCTTATACTTTTGAGATCTATTGTTCTGGAGTCAAGAATGTCCGACTATTCTTTGTAGTTTAATTATTACTTTCTCCATGGGGGATAGGCTTGCGGTATGTCTGCATGCATGATGATGAACACTGGCATTCCTTCCGTAGAATTCAGTCTGCACCAAACAAAGGACTGACTAGACACTATACTAGTCATTGACTAGTGTACACCCACAGTCTCTATAAACTGTGTTCTTACTTAATTAGAGAATTCGTGCATTCTTCGTTCACTGGGGGTTCTGATATTGCTCATTGTCTGCTGTCGCCTTTGGAATTGGTTGAACGACAGATGTGGTATATAGAGTAAGGTTGTGTAAGATAGGGAGAATAGTAGTGTACAGTATTTGCTGATGCATTAAAACTTTCCGGAGAAGTTTCAACAGATCTGATAAGCTGGTAATAAACATCGTGTTTTAGATTAAGATTTTTAAGTATAACTTATTGAGATTGAATGGCACCACGGGCCAGGTAAACCCCTCGAGTGGAACTCAAATAGGAAACAACGAGTTGTGCGTGAGTCCGAGGGTAATATGGAGGGGATTCGACAGCTTATGGACATTTGTGGAACCGCTTCGCTTTCTGTAGAAATTCCTGTCTTCACTTACCTCTCATTCAATCTCTGTATCATTGTTTATGGTAGAGAGTATAACTCATTTCTTACTGTCCATCTTAAACAAGTTTTATTTAAAAATAAATCTACTTTGAGTTGTTACTGTATATCAAGTGTGATATTTTGTCTAAATCTAAATAACTTCGAAGAGTTTATGCGCTTACCTTACTTCCGTTTTCATGCTTTATCCTGTACGAAGTTGAAGTCGAGATACTAACACATTCTCAATGCTTTTTGAGAATCACCTTTCTACGACTTCCGTATGGGTGTGTGTGTGTGTGTTTGCATGTGTAATATAAGTAGGCTGAAATAGATTGACGTGTGTGTGTGTGCGTGTGTAGGGATATATCAGTTTATAAAACGTGAGTAAAGCTTTTAAAAAGTAGTAATAAAAGACGTCATACCTTAGTGATGATTTTAAGTAGGTGTTTAGTTAGTAAGAAGAAGAATAATAATAACGTACCTTTTCGTTCGGAAATGAGAAAAAAAAGGTTTATTCACGACTACTCCATTCATATTGACATAATACAGAACAATAAATTATTATCTACATTCTTCTTAATCGTTTAATTGGCAGGCTCAAATCTATCCACCTACTGTTTTTTTCTTCTCTAAAAATATCCTGAACTCTCTCAGATAACATACCTGCCTGGTTATATTACGTAATAACTTTCAGTAGTAAGCTTTAAAATTATGATCAAACACTTATGCGTAGAAATCACTTAACTTTATGAAGTCACACCCACACTACCAATTACCATGCGCTTTGTTTACGTGTGTTATTGTTTATATATATATACATAAATATGATAACAAAAGCCACGTGGATGTAGAGCACTTTGCTGACAAAAAAAACACCGAGATCTACCAAATTTTGTTATTAGGTCATAATTATTACAACATTAATTAATTGTTTGCATTTATATTAAGGTTGTGGTCAAAGACCTTCATTAATGAGAAATCTTCGGCATATTCTTCATTCTCCCTACACATTCCTTCATGTTACACACTGGTGTGACCTTCATTCGTTGTAACCAACGCCCACAACTAACTGCTTAATTATTATATATTATTTTATACTTTTTTCATGTTCGTAACCTTGAGGATTAGTCGTCTAACAAAAACAATGTTATTTTCAGTTTATAATATGGTCATCGTTACTGGATGGAATTATTTCTAATCAGATGAATATTAATCGTTGTGTGTAAATGAATACGATCGAATTATAACACTAACTAACAAGGATGTACTTTACTGGCTATCAACACACAAAAGTGATAGTTTAACTCTATTATTGTGCATTGGTCAAGAGAGCTGAAATGATCAGAGAGCAAATAAAACCGTTGCAAGGTTATATTTGTATGTATGCATAGAACAAAATCAATATCAAATGTTTTTATTGTGCTGACCTTATTTACATCTAACTGTTTTGACTGATTTAATTGATTTAGGTGGGTGTTGTTATTCACTAAGGCAGAATTGTGATATTGAAACGTGTTTGCCTATGAAAAAAAGTGTGATTTGAGAGTGAAATATAGTTGTGGTTTGAAGTTTTATGATTATTATTATTATTGCCTCTTAGCTTCTGAGTGGGACATAGGGCCTCAACAACACATCGCCATTTCCCCCTGTCTCTTTTGGTTGGCTTCACGATTCCCACAAGCTTTCATCTCCTGCTCAAATGACCTCTTCTGTGTCACGCTTGGACTAATACCCTACTCGTCGTTACTCATTCGGGTTCCACTCGAAGGTTTGCTTGGCGCACAATGTCGCTCAGTGGTCTCCTTAGTATGTGTCTGACCCATTTTCTTTTGCATAAATCGCCGGCGAAGTTTAAATCCTCGAGTATTCATGTCGGCTCAACGTATCCTTCTTCTCGCCGCCCTAAAATAGTACTTTCTATGACATATAACACTGAAACATTCTCCAGAAGAAAACACTTGATTTCTAACTGTATTCAGACGAGAATGACTATAAACGCAAAGCTTGACTTGAAAGTTTCCAGGTCGTTAAGATAAATATCCTTAATGTGTACCAACCAGCAAGGGAAATTTGAAAGAAGTCACTTCTTCCACTCATCTAAGTAGTAGCGTTTCAACTACAGGCAGCCGTCGCGGATGGAGATGTCAAAGCCAGGTAAGACTGAAAAAAGTAAAGCA